CAAACACAGCAAATATCTTCAGGTAAAGCCACCTCAAAGGCTGAATTTTTAATACCATAATTATTATTAAATTAAAACTTATGAAACTTATTAATAATATTATTAATATTATTAATATTATTATTATTAATATTATTAATATTATTAATATTATTAATATTATTAATATTATTAATATTATTAATATTATTAATATTATTAATATTATTAATATTATTAATATTATTAATATTATTAATATTATTAATATTATTAATATTATTAATATTATTAATATTATTAATATTATTAATATTATTAATATTATTAATATTATTAATATTATTAATATTATTAATATTATTAATATTATTAATAATAATAATAATAATAATAATAATGTTAGGCCAAGATTCCATCTACCCCAACTAAAATTTTATCGAAATTTATTTGGAAAAATTTCTGGTGTGGAAAAAATGCCATGGAGTCTTTTATACCAATATCAGCCACAGAATAGAGAAAATAAAGCAAATAAATGAACTTTCTTCAGACAAAAGAACCTGCAAGAATGCAAAACAGGCATCTATCGGTAAAAATTGTTGGTGCCAACATCCAACATGACGGATACTACATATTGTTAAAATTTGAATACATGTTTCGTCCTCATCGTCACAGAATCTGCACCCACCATAAAATAATTATGTGTTTCAATACAGCTTTCCCCCTTCGCCCCATTAAAACTAAATGTCATAAATCTTGGACAACTAAAGGAATAAGAACATCATCTAAAAATATGAGGTCACTCATGTATATTAAAAAGTACACAGATAATCCCCTAATATTAAACTATATCAACAACTACAGAATATTGTATCGGAAAATCACCAAATCTGCTAAGAAAAACTATTACAAAAATCGCATCGCAAGAGCTAAAAACTCCTCCAAAGAAACCTGGTCTATAATAAATGACTTAAGGAATAAAACCCGTTCTTCAAACAGTGTAAATCCTAGCCCAGATGAACTAAACAATTATTTCGTAAATGTAAGTAAAAATATCAAATCTAACATAGCTCCGAGTCAGGATGCTCTCTCCTTCCTCCTACCTACTAAAAGGATCACTGAAAGTTTCTTCCTAAGACCAGTAGACAAGCATGAACTAGTGCAAACCATAAACAACATCCAAAATAAATTTTCCTGTGGAATTGATGGCCTGTCCACCAAAATATTTCTAAATATACCGGATGTAGTAATCAACATTTTAACTTCACTGATTAATTAATCCTTTGAAATTGGTCTCTTTCCTAACTGTCTAAAAACAGCTATAATAATAATCCCACTTCATAAAGGTGGCGACAAAACCAAAACCTGTAACTATAGACCTATCGCGTTATTGCCTACGTTATCGAAGATAGTAGAACGGCTAATGAAAAACCGTCTTTTGCCCTTTCTTTTCAAGCATAACATCCTCACAGCTCATCAGTATGGCTTTCTACCTAAAAATGCACTAGCGACGCAATGTTTTCCGTTCTTAATGAAATATACACATCACTTAATGATAAACTTTTCACCGCTTCAGTATTTTGTGACTTCGCAAAGGCCTTCGATTGTGTAAATCATGATATTTTAATTAATAAGTTACAAATTTATGGCATACGGGGTTCTCCTTTACAATGGTTTAAAACTTACCTAGAAAATAGAAATCAACAGGTGCGGGCGAATGGTGAGGATTCTACAAATCTAGCAATAAGCAGTGGAGTACCTCAATGATCAGTATTAGGTCCAATTTTGTTTTTATAATTCATCAACGACATCACAGACTTAAGAATAAGTGGTAGAATTACTTTATTTGCTGATGACACCAGTGTAACCTGGAATAATTCTAACATGCAGACATTACAATCTATCTTAAGTGAAGATCTAGTGACTATTAAGTCCTGGTCTGATTCGAATGGACTTTGTTTCAACACCAGTAAAACTGTAGCATTGTCTTACAGAGGTACTTTACAACCTATAACTTTAAACAATAATCTGATCCAAACGGTGACTTCAATCAAGTTTTTAGGTCTTTATATAGACGATTCTCTAAAATGGTCTGCTCATATAGATACCTTAGCAAAAAAATTATCCTCCACATGTTTTGCCATTAAATCGGTTTCTAAAGAGCTGACTCCTTCTACTGCATTAATAACCTACTTTTCCTTATTCGAATCTCACCTTCGCTATGGTTTACCTTTCTGGGGTTCTTGTAGCTTATACCTTTTCGAATCTATTTTTAAACTGCAAAAAAGAGCAATCCGCTATGTATTTGGTTTAAGTAGTAGGACACATTGCGAAAATTACTTCAAAAATTTCAAAATTCTAACCCTTCCTGCTCTATTTATTTTCGAATCCGTCTGCTTAGTTCGCAAGCACATTCAAAATTTATCCGAAAGACCGACTCGTAGATATCCTACAAGAAATTTAGAGACTGATGTTTATTTAACAATGCCCACTTCTGACCTATTAAAACATTCCATTACCTACAATGCCAAAAAATTGTATAATAACCTTCCGATGCAATTAAAATCTATAAATACATACGATAAGTTCCGAAGACTGGCTAAAGCTTTTCTTCTAGAAAGACCATATTACACAGTAGCAGAATTTTATAACGTACCTTAGACATTTGAGTTCCACATACAATGGCATTAATTAATTAATTAAATATTAAAGTTTAAATTTAAATTTAAAAATTAAATTAGAATAATTATAATGACGGATATTGCATATCCATTGCAATTGTTATTCCTATTTTGTCTGTTTGTTTCTGTTTGTTTTTTCTGCTGTTTAGTTATTTTTTTAATATGTTTAGTATTTAAGTTACACGCTTTGTCTATAAAATTTTTGTAAATTTTTTTACGACAATAAAGCATATCTCTCTCTCTCTCTCTCTCTCTACTACTCCCAGTTATTTTTTAAGTCGCAAATAGTGACTCAGTCTGTTTTAACCCCAAGAAATCCTTCTAACGGTCGGTTTTTCTACTATCCAATCCTTTTTTAGTCTCACTTGGACTATTTGCGATTTTATTGAATTTTCATTTTGACACACCGCACTTGTAATTTCACTTAATCGTCAGGCAATAAAAAATTCGTGAAAACGTGAAAGTACATGTTTCGAATTTCACGATGTTTGTCTGGCATAAGGTATATATGAAATTGGTTTTTTGCTGTTTCGGTGCTACCGTGGTAATAAAATGTTAATTTCCAAACAACGCGGTGGTTGGTAAAATTTATCGCCAGCCTCTGTCCGTACTTGATATATAACACCGCGATTTATTTTTTACATATACGATTCGTTTGGCAATATCCAAAATCAATAATTTATAAAGGGATTAACTTCTTAAATGAACTTAAGGATAAAGATATGCCAACAAACAAGGGATATAAGTAGTTGAACTAAGAAAAAACACGCGCAGTAGCAATGCCAAAAGGGTCTAAGACTATATCTTTGTTGCTATTAGTCATATTCAAATGGAAAAAACAGTATTATGAAGAAGACTTGATATAGATTGACGATGAAGAAAAAAATCGCGCGTAGTATTAAAGCCGTAATTTTTCTCTTCAACGTTAATCTATACTGCTTTACGTAAACGATGGTCACCATCTTCTTCATCCCAAGAGGCTTCTTCAACCTCTCCTCTTAGTATTTAAGTCTCCAGAAACTTCTTCAGCGTTAGGTTAGATAACTTTTCACAAAATGATGCTTGGGTTAGAGGTCTTTTCATAAAATGACGCTTAGGTTGGATGACTAGGCTGAAATTTCTTCAATCACGTGAACGGTATGTCTCGTAGATTAGTCTGCGCATGCCTGCGCTGACACTGTCTTTGTTTATCTAATCAAATATTACCAATCATAAGAGATGATCCGGACCTACCAAATATGATAAGTTTTTTTAATTTTGACATATAAAGTGATATTAAAATTGCACAAGGTATAATAGGACCATGCGTGAAACTAATAAAGAGCGCTGTTTATCGGGGAACGTTTGGCGCACGATACGTACGAGTCCCTAATAAATTTGGCGTAGATAGCTTACGTTTAAATTTCTCTAACTTTATATATTTACATATTTTATGATTTTTAATCAATGACTTACTTCATTTATGTTCAAATTATCTAATTATTTGTTCGCTACATATATTTTACTATTGTAAATGCACTTTTAAATAATAATAATGATTATAAAATGGATGTATTATTATTTATTATCTGCACATTAATAATTATATTTTTTTTTTTACAAAAAGTTAACCATTAATTCTTAATCAATGCTCTAAATCATGCATTAACAAATCAAACAATTTGACACTATTACTATGTACTATATAATTAAATCTATAAATTAAAAGGTAGTAGATAATGTATAAATGTTTCTGTAAAATCAGGTGTGTAACACCTGTGGTGAATATGATTTATGACAATTCAATTATATGATTAAGTTTATAATCGGTAATTTGATATTTCATATAAATGTATTTCAATTCAGGTATAAGGTATTAATTATTATGCTACTACCGCGAGTTGCACATTTGAAATTAATATAAATTTATACTGAAATTTTATATTTTAAACAACAAAACATAGAAGTCATTACATAAAGAGGTTGCTGTTGGGGCATCGTGACTAACTGGAATGTCGCCTGTGGGTTCTAAGGAAAACACTTTTGAAAAATAGTTGGCCAGAGCTTGAACTGTTTCTTGATAATTATTACATAAAATTCCATCTATTTTTTTTTAAGAAACGGGACTGATACTTTGGAAGATAGCGTCTTAGGGTTATCTGGGTCATACAAATATCTACTGTCAAAATATTTCCCATTAAACCATTTCATCAAAGTCGACTATAAAATAATTTTATAGCTTTACACCCGAACATTTTTAAATAATCAATTCAAAACGATTTCACGCCTAATCAAAGCAACCATAAAACATTGTGATATATATTTAGTGGCTAGAATTTAATTATGGTTTTTTGTTTACAGTTGTCGTCTTGGACACCACGGGGGAGGCGAGTTTGGATTGGACGCGGTACCCTTATGGACCGCAAGCGAACACTCCAGGGGTAAGTAGTATTTAAATATTCATAGAAATAGATTAGAACGAATTTTAAAAACGTCAAAATAATATATTGGGCATCGTTAATAATGTGTTTATTCGAATGTGTCAAGAAAAGCCTTGTTTTTCAGATAGAAAACATAATGGATAACTTTTTCTATATAGGTTTGTTTATTACTCAGTTATAAGATAAAGAGTTCCTTCGAAATATATCATACATAAAGTCTTAAGTAGGTTAGATATCGTATTATAGAACACCACCGTCATATTTATTACACATCCTGTATAATACTTTTGTAATATAGTTATTAAAAATATTTCATTAACATGTACATTTATCATCCAAGGCATCTATATTATTCACTTTGTTTTCTTCCTTAATGTATATTACGCACGAAGGAAAAATTTATTAATATTCAGTTCATAAAAAGTTTATCGCTGATATTTATCAGACACATCCGACCAAATAGCATAAAACTCTTTGTTTCAATACATTTAAAATGAAGGAATTCTCCTAGTTCTTGCAGAATAAACTTCGTCAGCAACTATTTTACACTTCGTTTGATAAGTTGTATATATCTGTCCGTCCTTCTTTCCCGACAAGGTGACATTTAAAAGCTGCTGCTCCGTTTTAAAACGTATATCAAGTATCAAGTAACGAAAAATGCGCTTATTCGTCCGTTCGTCCGCCTCCTATGCCCCCCTTAACCCCTTATACCGTCTTATAAAATGTCGCAGCTAAGGTTTCTCGAAACTCCAATGAATGGGGTATTACATAAAAATAAAATGCCAGACTATAGTCGTGTATTGTAAGTTGTGAGAAACACGAAGGAATTTTAGAACTTACGATTTTTTGAATATTTGACAACTTTATTATTTTAATATTGATAGTCTTACAGTTCATCAAATTTCTAGAGGCTTTCGACGGCTAGACAGAGAAAGTACTACTGACAGGCATCCCGACGGATTTACGCAATGAAAGTACATTCTGCGCATCAAGTATTTCACTATTTCATTCAGACGTAAATGTCAGATGTAAATTTCGCTAAAACATTTCTCTTATTTTCGTTTGTGTTTTTTGCTCATTACAGTTTAATAGAACCTAAGTATGGAGTTTAATAGCAAATTAAGAGGCCGCGTGATTAACAGTCAATCTCGCGAAATAATAGCCAATGTTATAGAGTTTATGAGAAGAGAAGGAAACTTTAATTCACCTTCAATACCATTTAAAAATGTAAACGAACCTGTTGCTGCAGCCGCAGGAGTATTTAAAAACACTGTCGTCCGCATTTCTGGAGAGAAAAAAAGAATCGATAACCGTGAGATATCGGAATTTTCATCACCAAGAAAAACCATTAAAAAACCAAAAACAGTTAATGATATAGATGAAGCTGCACAAGAATCAAATTTTATTTTTTTATTATTAGATAGCTATTTTTGTTTCTGAGTTGTGTTCATTTACAGGCTCAATTTTTTTCCGTTTCTCCTTTTTGATTTTATATGGGGTTTCAAGTTGTTTTTGACTTATTTCGACGTAAATCACAACAACACACTTTTTTAATAAAGCAAACAAGTGTTAAGAGGTATATGTACGTGTAAACTACAATTACAAAAAATTGATATGAAACCACCAACAAAAATGTAAAGCTAGCTTCCGTACTAGAACATGGTGTCATTCGTCGAGATAATTTATCGTTTTGTTTAATAGATCAAGAAATGTAAATATTCCCCTGTTATTTTTTATAAAATTATAAGAGAAATAATTTTTTTTCTAAATAGTATAGTTTATTATTTTGTAGAAAAACAAAATTTCGAAAATTTTAGTAATGTTTCAGAAACAACCGTTATTAATAATAGGTACCATTTTCCTTAATAAGGTAGAAATAAAATAAATAAACTATTTCCACTATTTGGCCTGGAAAAGACGAAAATTACCATAAAAAACCGATAGGGCTTACGTGGAACAAGATATAGGGCCTAAAGTGGGTTTTTGAGTGATTTTGGGGCCCTACGAGAAAACTAAGAAGCCCTAGAAAAATTTAGAGGTAATTTTCAGCTTTTTCAGACCCAAATTACCCTATAAGAATTTTTTTGGAATTTTTTGACTTAAAATAGAGAAATTAACATTCGCACGTGCTCAAAAAACTTTTAGATGCCATTTTCTTTCTTTTCATGACATTCTAAGGTATTCTACTACCTGAAATGTCATAATTAGTCGACCGTTGGGAAAATAATTTTTTTAATTATAGTAGTTATATTGATTTTAAAAAACTTTGTAGAATCTTTAGATTTTGCCAGTTATTAAAAGTTTGTGAATCGATATTATGTAATAGTTAGTTCTGAACTTGTAAGTGAATTTTCTAAGGCTCTGTATATTAATTATTGAACGCAAAAAATTACCAGAAATGATGAAACAAAATTAATTATATTAATAAAAAAAAAAAAACTTTGTAGAATTTTTATATTTTCGCCAGTTATCAAACTATACAGGGTTGGCCAAACCTCTGTCGTAGTTCTATAACTCCTACTATGCAAATCTTAACGATTTATTTGATGTATACCTGTCAATGGTGGCCAATACCAAATATCCCAAAATTATTTTCTTGTGTACAGGGTGGCCCAATAGTAAATTAGGCAAATCACTTATTTTTTTTTATATGGAATGACCCAACTTTTTTCCAATTTTAGGTACTCTATGGTCACTAGTACATACCCACAAAATATTGTTTCTAACATCCCACCCCTTTCGTCGAAAAAAAAAAAATGACCAAAAAATATTACATTTTCAGACGCCTATTAAAATATGCAGTGCTCTCTCGAATTTGATGTTAGAATTTAAAAAACTACGATTGTATAAAGCCAATAGACCAAAGATTTTTTTGGACCAAGTTTGAATTTTTTATTTTGTACAGGGTGGTCACAAATTAATTTCACTTTCCAAAAATTTCGAGGGAAATTTTTTAAAATTTTTCAAATGTATTACCCTGTATTTCTATTCATCAACTGTAGGAGAATTTCATACCCTTCCACTTCCCTATGTACTTTCCTATACCTATCTGTCGCCGTTATAAAATAAATTCAAAAAGAAGAAAATTACGATAATAAAATTTACAGATATATAAGAAATATATCAAAATGTTTATTGTTTTAAAAATTAGACAATGTTTTTTTTAAATACACTATTTTCTCATAAAAAAACAATTATTCCTCTACTAATCTTCATTATTCGTATTAAAATTTTTTTATTTCTCCTAATCCAGATCGCAAGTATTTGAATCGCAGTCATCGATATCGCTATTAGGGTTAATTATAATAAAAATAATTTCTAATCTATTAAAAACTCCCTCTCTGCCAATATGTTTATTATAATATTGCTTAGAAAGGTCACAAATAAGTTCAATGGGGTTAAAAATACAATGGCAGGGAAGATTACGTAATACTTTGTCTATATTGTTCTGCTTAGGTAATTATCTACCATATATTTCTTTGGCGGTTTGCACCTGAAAAAAGAATGTTTTATTTATTTCTATTTAGTTGCTATTTCATATAACGTGTGTCAATATCGCTATATTCTAAATTGTAATATCGAAACAACACATTATATCAATGATTTAATGTTAGGTACACCGTTATATCAAATCTTGTAACTTCATTTTTAATTTTTTGATATTGTTTTAAAGTTTATTTCTGAAAAAAAAAGGCATTTTTGGGTTTCACTGTACATCTTGAAAATGTGTAAAACATGTAGATTTTTTGACCACTGTAATCAAATTTTTCCATTTAATTGTCTTTATATGATTGCTAGAATAGCGTATCTACCATTAAATCTTCAATATGATGTGTCATTTCAATATTAATAATTTTTTTTACTTGATTTACACAATTACCGATACCTTAATTTACTTCAAATTTGGTGTTTTATCTCTTGCCATCGATTTTTGTAGGTCTAACACCCTTTGTCATTATTTTCCCAGGAGCTGTTTAATGTTTCATTTTGAATGATACATGTTTCATCAATGACAAGAAACTGCTTCTGTAGTAATTCTATAATTTCTTAAAAACTGACCTATTTACAGTTCACGTCTTGGTTATCTTTTTTCCTTCATTCTTTTAATACAGTTGACAATGATACAATATAGCCATTAAACATTTGTCTCTCAATCAACTTTTCTCTTAAAGGTTCCAAAGTTATATGTTGACCTGCAAATAAGTATGTATTTATATTACTGTATACAAATTAAAACTTTTATAGGTAATATAAATAAATTATGATTGAATAAATAGATTTGTGTTTATACTTACTTGTTTCATACATATTATAAATACCACTTTGGGTTCCACTTGTATCCAGTGTTATTGTATTAGTAGGTAATCCTTTGTTTATATGAATGCTTTTTAATTAGAGATTTTAATCATTCATTATACTTGACTGCTTGCGAAATACTACTGACAGTAGAAATATTTTTATTTAGAGATGCTGCAACACACTAAAAAAGACAAGAAAATAATTTCATATTTCTATTAAATTTTATAACTTGTAACTTACCTCTCTTACAGCAGTTAAAGGTAAACGTGGTCCATCATTATCACGCTCTCATTCAAAATAATGGCTTAAAGAAGCTATCAACTCCTTACAAGGACTATTTAGTTTTTTAGGCATTTTGTATATAAAAATTAAACGACAAATAATCAGCTTATTCACTCTATGGTTGTTTTGAAAAACAGTTTTTTATATGTATAACTGGCAAAGCTTAAAAATACAGGCAAAAGGATTTTAAATTACAGAAAACAAAATGCACAATCAATAATTAACTCAACATAAACATAACCTAACTAAATCAGTGAAATTTTTTGAAAAGGGGTTGCAACACCGCAACAAGGTGTACCAATTGCTGTAATGACATTTCTTCTCTATAAATACGAGCTTCATGGGCGTACAGAATGTCAAAATTATTTAATGTAAAGTATTATTTTTTGAGTACTAAACATTTAATAATGTTTTTATAA